GGGGGGGGGGGGGGGGAGGTGGACAGTGCTTGCAGGAAGCGCCCCCTTAGGCGCTCAGGTATGAATTTAAAATACAACACATCTGTTGATTTCAATTTTTAACAGCCAAAGTCTTAAGAACAGCAGGGCTGGATTGGAGGAAGGGAAGGGAGGTAAATTTTGGAGGCAAATGAAGGCAAGGTGCAGCGGTGAGGCAGGGAGGGCGTTGGGATGAGGCGCTGACAGAATCTGTAGGAGGCCCCATTGTGTTACTCTCTGATCTGGAAGGACCCTGGCAGCGGGACGGGGGATGACGCAATGCAGACCGGAGAGGAGGGTAGTGTTGTCGTTTGGGAATGCTGCCATTAAGCCCAGGCTTCTTGTAATCACTACATGGCAGGTGGCAGCTCAGGGCAGTGGGACAGGGACTCAGCACTAAACAGTCTGATCGTGTCTCCCTGGGGGCTCCCTGGAGGCCGTGGAAAGCAGAGCAGGGCCACCGCGGCAGAGCCTTCTGCAGAGGCCGGGCAGCCTGGCTCACATCCCCCCTAGAGCATCCCCTGTAGGATCCCGGGGCGGCGGGACCTGTCAGGTAAGATTCAGAAACACAAGAAGCATCCCGCATACATCCAGCAAATCAAACCAGCAGGAGCCGCAGAAAATTGATTTGCTGCTCTCTGGGGCTCAGCGGCGGGAGAACAGCACAGTGCCCTCTGAGTCACCTCCAGGCGGACAGTGCCTTCTGAGCAAAGACCCTGCCAGAGAGGAAGGCACATTTCTCTCCAGCCCCAGCAGCAACAAAGGTGAGCAAGAACGAGAGAGCTAGGCCAGAGCTGCCCTTAAGATAATTGGTTATAAATACAACCAGTGGCCTGGTGCACAAAATTCATGCACTTGGCGGGGGGAGGGGTCCCCCAGCCTGGTCTATGCCATCACAGTGAGGGGCTCCTCAATGGATTGCCCCAAAGAGGTAGGCCGGAGCTGGGGGTCCTGCCTCCATGCCGTGTGGAGCCACAGGACCAGAGCCGAGGGACCCCTAGACCTCGCTGAGTGGAGGGCTCTGCCAGGCCACACCTCTGGGCTGCACAGAGGCCTCCGCTGGGCCCTGCCCCTGAGCCGGGCCTCATGCAGGCCTGCGGACCCCAGCAGAGTCACGCGGAGGCCTCCGCCGGGCCCCAGGCCTCCCAGTGATGCGTTGTGATGGCATGATGCAAGTCCCCGACACTGCAAGTCCCCACCGACCCATGCCTGCTGCACACGCAGCCTGCTGACCGGTTGTTACGCATGAGGGTGTCCCGACCATTTGCATATTACCCTTTTATTAGTATAGATATCGTTCCAAGAAATAGTCCATCCACCTATAGAGGTCAACGCTAAAGACAACACCCCCTGAGGTCACATACAAAAACATGATTACAACTGGTTTGCCGGTGGAGTGAGCATCTCACATCCCTCAGTGAAGACTGACCCTGGAATTAATGAAAACTTCTGGTTGGACAGACCGTCCCGCAGCCTGGAGTGTGATCTGTGCTTGGGGAACAGTGCAGAGAGCAGCCCCCTAGGCAGGCCACACTGCTCACAGCACGGCGTCAGGCCAATCAGCCCCAGCCTGACCCTCTTCTGTCACCGTCTGCAACAGCCAGACCACCACTCCAGATGGGTCAACGCCGTGGCTTGAGGGGATTTCAGGAGCGGAATCAAGAGGGCCTGTGGGGTGATTGGATGGAGAGGGGGAGGCATGGGCGGAGTGAAGGTGCTCCCCTCGCTTTCCGCCTGGGGAGCCTAGTAGATGGTGGTGCTGAGCACTGAGTGTCACTGAGATGAATGGAGGGTTCGGAGGCAGGTCCCTGGGCCTGAGAAGGATTGCAATTTAACATCCCGAGTTTAAAGTGCCTCTGGGACATGAAAACGGATATGATTGGAAGGAAGCTGAATGTATATACTAGTGTATGGAGAGAGATGAGAAAGTTAGATATGGAGAGAGGAGAGAGAGAGAAAGAGAGAGAGAGAGAGAGAGAGAGAGAGAGAGAGAGAGAGAGAAAGAGAGAGAGAGGATAAAAAGATAGTCATAAAAAAAGGATCGAACAAAGAACGCAGGGTGTCTCAAAAGAGAAGACTTCCTTTCCTAGTAATAACCCTGCTGTGTGCCTATAGCTGCTCAAGGCCCCTCCCCCAGGAGAGCTCCAGTTGGAGTAAAGGACAGTTCCTCAGGGGAGCCTCCCCCAAACCCCCTCTCCCCTGTGGCCCGGGTCTCTCTTGCCCATAGGTCCCAGCAACAAGGATCCCCCCAGGTGTGTGCCTGTGGGCCACACTCACCTTTCTGTCCTCATCTGTAAAATGGGCACGACAAAGTGATTGCACCATAGAGTTGTCGTGAGCAGTCACTGAGATACTGTTTGCAGAGCGTCCCAAACATTGCCTCTACACAATGAGGACATGTTCATGTGTTTGAAACAAAATAAGCATCCACCCCAGGTGACTGGCACTGGGCATGGCCAGGGCCTGAAGGGATTGGCTTAGAAGCGTGTCCAAGGCCACAGAGCAGAGCAGGAAGCCAGCAGGGCCGCGCTGTCAAACAGAGCGCCGGTGCGGCCCCAGGACCCAAGCTGATCCTCATCTCCCGGCGCTCCCATAGGAAAGGTCTGGTCTTATTGGGGGAAAATGCTATAAGATCTTCTCATTTCATCACGAACAATACAAACACAGCGTATCCCCCGAAATGTATACCCACATTGATGAATTATCAAGTATGTTTATTGAAATACATTTCATTTTCAAAATTGAGCTCTCAGCTCTTAAAGTGTACATTTTGGGGGACACCCTGTATATTCTAGTATATCGGTGAGTAAGACCTGTTAGCACAGGGAGCCTGTATCTATGTACGTTGTAGAGTCACGACATAAAAATGTGAGGCCAAGAATCCAATAACCGCTCTGCATGTCATCCTGCCCAGAGCGGGGACCAGGTGGCGAGCTGGAAGGTGAGCCCAGGAATTAGGCACAGGAATTGGAGATTTGCAAACATCTGGGCAGGGGGGAAACTCCTCTTTCTAACATTTTTGGCGCCGTTGCATTAGGAAGACTTATTCTACTTCTCAGAATAGGCGCCTCATAAAAGAAAAACTTCCCATTGCATTCATCAGTCAAGTTCAAAACCAACCAAAAAAGGACTTTATTTTGGAAATGTGGGTAGCGTGGCATCGGAAGGAAGTTACACACGGTGGCTCAGTTACACATGGACACCGGCCTCTCCTCCTTCCCACGTTTGTCTGGGATTTACCTCGTCTTAGTGTTTGAGAGGAGCTCTACTTGTATAACATAATACATTCTTATTTTTTAAGAAACGGGATTCTCCTCTCGGCAAAATACTCACAACCTATGAAAACTTTCCCAACCTTGTTATCTCTCAAATCTATTTCTAAATCCACTGTTTAAAACTATTTGAACAATCCCACATCATTGGAATGTTTTCTTTTTGCATTTTATAAAAATGTTTAATAAAATTATGATGCATTTATGTGCAGCAAAATATTTGCACAGGTCCTTAATGTTTCCTTAGGATAAATGTTAAGATAATCTTTTATCAATAATGTTAAAGCTTCTAGTAAATATTATTAATCGCCCCAGAGGAACTATATTAAGCCATACCATCCACCATCTGCTCATGAAACTACATGCCTTCCATATGCTTGCGATTATCATTAACATTTTGGTCAATGATAAGACAGAATTTTATTCTCTGCTTTTTGAAATTATTGATAGGGTTAAATATTTTCCCATATTTTCAGTAATTGTAATTATTTCTTTTGTATTATAGGTTCGTGCCTTGCTCTTTTCCTATTAAAATTATATTTACATAAATAGACATCTATTATGTTGTTATAATTTTTGACAATTTATATTTGCTTTTCCATTCTATTGTTTTAGCGTGGTGAAGGCCTGGGGCAGGGCGGGAGCAGGGTGGAGGGAGTCAGTGGGGGAAAATGGGGACATCTATGACACTTTCAACAATGAAGATGCGTTTTTAAAATGGTGTAGACCTTTAGTTTTCATGTTGTTTCGTTTTTCAAGCTTTCCTTTTATCAGTTTCTCAATGTGTTGATGTTACAAAATGCACTTTCCCGGTTTTGTATCCTTACCTGGTACATTTAACTCTTGAATTCGGGTCTACTTCCTGTTTCTGTATGGTGCAAGCTCGAGTTCTCATTCTGTCCGTCACAAAACAACCGGTGTCCCCAGGAGCTGCCTGACCCCGTGCCTCTCCTCTGGCCGCTGAGGGACGCGGGCTCCTGCCGGTGGCCGATGGCGGCCTTTGTGAAGCCCTGAGCTCAGCAGGTTCCAGCGGCTGCAAAAAGCCTCCATCTCCGGCCAAGGACTCAGCCTCCATCTCCGGCCAAGGACTCAGCCTCCATCTCCGGCCAAGGACTCAGCCTCCATCTCCGGCCAAGGACTCAGCCTCCATCTCCGGCCAAGGACTCAGCCCCGTTCTGCCTCCTAGCGATCGGCCCTCCGCGCACTGGAGTCACGCTGTGCTGTGCTGTGAGTTCCAGGCGGCACTGCGAACAGACGGGCAGCAAAGCAATGTGTCTCCTCAGGGGAGACCGTGGCTAGAGGCCCCCTGAGGCCCTCCTGAAGTCTGAACGGTCAGAATTAGGCCACATGGGGATGTCCTGGCTTCTCAAGGGCTCACAGTCAGGTCTGTGGGATGTGCGGCCTGTATCCCAGAGCCTGAGCCCCTACCCCCCACCGCACCCCGCTCCGAGGCAGAGGAAGCATCCCGAGTGCCCCCTGTGGGTGGGTGAGAGTATGCAGACAGGGTGGCTTGTGACTCAGCAGTGTCTAGGGCAAAATCCGCCCCTGGTTGGGGATGTTCCTGGAAGCTAGGTATATAAAAAACGGAAAATAATGATGAAAAATAACATTGTCACGCCTATGGTATAAAATAATATAAAACTTTAGGAAAGAAATAGGGACACTTATAAGCATTTATGTTTTAGAAAACATTTTTCAATTACAACTGTATTGTCTAAAGAATGGATTAACTTCTGCAACAGTAACATATATGACATACATACACACCTATCAATGAGAAAAAGGTAAATATTACCTATTTAATGATGTAAGTATAATGAATACATCTCCTTAATATTTTCTTTCCAATCTTAGAAACAAAATGTATGCTTTTACTTAAAATTGTTTAAAAGTTTATAGATAATAATAACTGCAGACATTTTTTATTCACAAGAAAAGCCTCAGTGGTCCTGGGGTGATGGGGTGGCGAAGACCATCTCCCACCAACAAGGTCCCCCTCAGTGGCATCTGCAGACACAGGAGGAGGGGAGTGTGACGGGACTTTTGGAAAAAGACGCCGGTGTCATCGGTGAGCGGTTCGCATGCCATTTGTCACCTGTCTGTTTCGACTGCTCCCCCTGGAGCACCTTCCATCCACGGAAAATGGCTCTTGTTCAAAGTAATTTATGAAATTTTCCCAACACGAGGCGGTCCATTAGGACCAGGAGCCCTGTCTCTTCCACGAAATTACAACCCGAGCGGCGCTGGCCTGTTGGGTCGCATCCCCCCACACAGCCGCCGCCACGGTTCCCTTTGTTCTCACAATAGTACTTCTGGGCACGAGGTGTTTATGTTCTATTCTTTTTTGTGGGGACCTTCTCATACCCGTAACTGAACATAATCTGCTTCTGTGCATACTTTTAAAGAGGTCATCTGACAGCATGTACGGACATTTAAATAAACGAATCCTCCGATTTCGTGTTCATTTTCAAGTACTTACTCTAAGGAGATGTTCAGGGAAGTGGCACATGTAAAGAGGGATGCCTGCACCAGTTGGAATAGATCAGTTAGACGACGCTGCAGTCACAGACAGCGAACATGTCAGTGCCTTCGAAACGACAAGGTCTCTCTGCTTTGCTTATCTGCAGGAACGTTGTGGGGCGACGGGAACTGTCCCACAGGCCCTCACTCCTCACCCTTCATCTCCAACGTTGCTTCTCCACGTCAGGGGGAAAAAACGAAAAAGGCAACGCTTAGGAAAGTAAACGGACCACCAAGCGCCATAGCCGCGAAGTGACAGGCCACTTCCCTTAGCGACCAGCCCCTCCACCCTCCACTGAGGCAGGACAGCGGGCCTGTGCTGAGGAGGGGGAGGGAGAGGCCGTGACTGGCCGCCGCCATCACGCACCTGTGTGTCCTCATCCTGCTGGACGCTGACAGCCGTCAGCCCGCCAGCCGCGAAGCCTGGCGAAGTGTGTTGCATGTAATGCGTTGTAATCCCATCTCGCTGTTGTTAGGTGCTTTAAGTAAAAGCTTACCGCCTGATGAGCAAACGCTGTGGAGGGAGGAAAGCCCTGCTCGTCTGTGTGTGATACTTGGGCCCAATTAATTAAGCCTGCAAGTGGAAATACGTGAGGATGGAAAGTGGCTGCAGGGCAGCGGCCGCGGAGGGCGCTGGATAGAACGCTGATCTCTTCACGCCACGTTCCCCAACCACGTTCTGTTCCCTCTAAAGAAGCATGGCTCATTTTTGTAAAAAATATATATAATTTGTACATTATAGCTGTAAACAAATGTTCCATGTCGGCTTGCATTAAATGGCAGCTAACTTAAAGGTCCCGCTGTGCCTGCGAGCGGCTTTGCCCCAGGGTCACTGCCTTTCAGGGGCTCCTTGCTACAGTGGGGGTGCCCTGCTGACTCCCCACACTCACTTGGTCATCAGTCAGTTGACAATATTCTGTCATTTTTGTGAACGTTTTTGTATTTGTGGGCGTGAAGCTCTTCCTGGAAAGTAATGACCATCACTCCCTCGTTTTCAATGGTTGTTACCTTTACTCCAGGTGCCACTTTCGGGAGAAATCGGGCGGGTGGATGTGGTGAGAAATCGGGGGGGTGGGCGCGCTGGGGTTGGGTACTCACATGGGCTGCCCTCACCCAGGGAGAGGCTGCGGGCTGCGCTGACGGATGATGCGGGACCGGAGGGAAGTGGCGGCTCCCAGGGAGAGGCTGCGGGCTGCGCTGACGGATGCAGGGCGGGAGGGAAGTGGCGGCTCCCAGCGGCTTTGACACACGAACAGGCCACTGCCCAGAGCGCGCGGGAGGCCCCAGCATTTGCTCTGGAAACCACGGCTCAGAGCCAGAGGCGACCAGGAGGCCCGGCACTGGGAGGCCTAGCCCTCCCCTCCTCCTGGCCTGCCCTCCCTGCCTCGTCTTCCTCCAGCTCCCAGCCCTCCTGGGGAACCGCCTGGGGAGCCTCCTGGGGAAACCTGGCTGAGATCCAGGGAGACTTCCAGAGCCGGCCACCCCCGTCTGACACTCCCAGGGTGTCTACAGTCTCCCCGGTTCATGGCCACGGTCATGGACTGACACTGTGCCCTGCACCGCCCCTGCAGACACTGCAACCCTCACCCCCACCCCCTCCAATGGAATGGCAACAGGAGGAGGGCCTTGGGGAGGAAGCGGGTGGTGTGGGTGGGGCCCTGGGGAAGGGAATCAGCGCCCTTCGGAAAGGGAGCCTGAGCCCGCCCTCCTGGTGAGGCCGCTGGAGAGGACAGCAGCCGGCCACCCGGAG